GAGGCCATCTGCCTGCTCTGTATGGAATTAAGGGCAGATTTTATTGCAAAAAAAACTTATCTGGCGCATCCTACCAAAAGTGAAGTTGTGAAAAATACCACCACATAAAAGCTGTCTTAACCATATTCTTGTCTTTATGACGCTACTCTTTACACAAATATTTGATGTGCATTTAAAAATACCCTTTCGCCTTTGGGATGATTGAGTAGGTGAGTGTCGTTTGATTCGAATGATGAGTTGTAGAAAGCCCGTTGAAACCAACTCAATTATTATAATTATTTTTTAACCTATGGTTACTGCTTTCCAAATGCCGAATTCTAAATGCAGATAATAAATCTCCACCAATAGTAGTATCGGTCAATAGATTAACAACTTCTTTTCGACGCTACTATAAAATAAGAGGTCGAGGCTGGTATTCACTAAATATCTACTTAACAGAAGGTTGGATTTTTCAAGGTAATAATTCATCGAAAAATTGAGTACTTTGGAAATTCAATCTCTTCAGAATGTAAGAATCACAATTCAGCCCTAGTAATGTCATAGAGAATTAAATACATGGTTAATTGGCTTTTTTAATTTAAATGTCAGAAATTAAAACTTGTCCTGAATATGACCACAGTTATCTGTTAGCTATCAGTTCTTTAAATGATTAAGTTTTTGAAAACAATTTGATAACCAAATAGGCAGTCATGTCATGATTATTCCAATAATATTTTTAAAGTATCATAACTCAAACAATTAGCAAAATATGAAAAGGCATAATCAACCGCAAAAAGTTCGATAATTTCTGGTCAAGCCCCAAACTGAAAACGCACTTCCAAACCATACGACAGCTATTTTCACTTTTAGTATAATAGTTTGTTGTCAAAGCATACGAAGGAATTGCTATTATATCAAAATACCAAATAATAATAACAATATCTCCTAATGAAATATAGATATATTAAATAAGTATATGGAACTTTGGGCTAGGATGAAGACAGTGAGTGAGAGCTCACATACTCACATACACATAATCCTTAAATACACTAAATCTGCAGTGAAAATGAGCAAGGCATAGTTAATTTCGTGGGACATACATAATTAATTAGTTGTTTATCTCAAGTAATAAAATGGATTTGACCAATCATTACGTTTTTTTAACATTGTAGATGATAGTATAAAGGCTAGGGAAACAAAAAATTTTAAATTGATAGGGTTTTTAAAGGTCCTCTAACAATTGTATGCATGTGGACCTTCAATTTCCTATTAAAATTTGGATAGGTATGCTTTATAAATAGGCTTAACTGAAAAACGAAGGAATTTCGAAAGGAGGTTTGGGCAGTTGATTCTAGTCCATAGGTCCTTAGGGTACCATTCTCTAATCCTGATGAATTAGGGTCGAATTTTCGTCTGGAGGACATCTTTTAAACTAACAAACCACTAGCTAACAAGCAATAAACTGCTGACATCTACGCTAAAATATGGCCATAACAACAAACCTAACTTTCTTCGGTCTACCGTAAGACTATCATGTAAATCCCACCCAACATTTGTTATGAAAATAGGATTCCACTGGTGATTTCTGAATTTTTATATACTCGGCTTCTTCTATTGGCACATTCACGGATGCAGTTAAATTAAGCATGCAATTTAAAAGATTATTACAAATCTCAAGAAGCTGATCACTTATTTTATTTCCTCTTTAAAAAGGTATACCAGCCACTTAAGTTAATAGTTTACTTAGCTTAGATTATGTAAGCTTTGAGAGACAATCTGATCAACTCTTACTTTGTCTTGAAATATACCAGATCTCAACTCACTATAGAAGAAGTTTGGGATCTTTAAGTAAAAAATAATGAAAGCTTCTTCAGATCTATTGATTATTACATTGGAGAAAGTGATTGGATTTTTTATCCTCACAACTAGCCTATCTGGCGAAGGGCCGTTAATGAGCTACGTAGAAGTCAAGAAAAAAATTAGAGAAGAATAGAAGATTTAGAAGTCCTCTTAGTTTGTCTTCGGAAATCGGTCATATTGGCAGGAAGACCTTGAAATACACACCTTGTCCGGAGTCCATAGCATGCAAAATATATGGGCACATAACTTATTGATTAAGTATCATTTTTGGGCTATTTACAGATTTTTCTCTTATTATTTGGCTTTCATGTCTACCGTTAGATCTAGAATAAGAAATGCGCTGACCATATTTCATTTGGGGAGATGAAGGACTGTTAAATAAATTTTCCCACAATCATATGAGTAGCCTCATGTTTCAGTTGGATTTTGAATAGTCTTGCTTCCCAAGAGATATTCATCTCTAGGCTGGACTGGACAACAGTTTCGACCTCGCAGAGCCCTCATCAGTACACCCAGCGGGACTCGAACCCGAATATTCTCGAAATGTAAAGCGGTAGACAACATTGCCAAGAGTGCACTTGGATCACATGGCAGATGTGCATTTCAAGGAAGTCTCGGCCTTTCCCAAATAACATTTCTGTGGAGGGCTTTTCGATGATTTAAAGTTGTATTTGCTATAGCAATCGAGTGCATTGCTTATTTTTTTAAGAAGACCTTCATAGTTTAAATGGAATAGGGTTAACATAGTTATTATTTAAGATTTTGGTCTGTTCATATTTAGGAATAGCGGTGGAGCAGTAGAAGTTACTAGGGCGAGTAGACGTCCCTACGGTCTAGTGGAGTCTGGTAGGTCGATCAAAGGAGGCTTGATCGATGGGAAAGACTTGGCTCAGACTCTGTCTTCTGACTAAATAGGCGATGAGAAAAACTGGTACCGACTGCCAATTTAAATGTTAGCCGTCTAACCCCACAAAGGTAGAATCGAATTGTAGGCAGATAAAACAGGCTATCTACAAAGATGATGAAGTGACACAAGGTGCCCACTCCTTGGCAAAAGAATGTGAATTATAAAAATGCGCTATGATGTGGTCAAGCGTCAAATTAAGTCTTAGTCTGGTACCGAGTTTATAGACCAACGTTCGAGAATATCATGGATGCTATAGACTCCAGACAAGGTGTTTTCATCTAGACCTTCGTAACCTTAAGACCAGGTTGGTAACACGATGTGAAACTACTTCTATCAGCCCTTAAATCATCTTAAACGAACTAGCATGACTAAATCATCAGCCTTAAGTTGACAACCACTATTGCTTCTCTGCGACTCAGAAGTAGGCTGCAGTTGGTTGCCACGATTGATAGACAGTGCCTAGGTCCCCGTCTAGTGATCGTGCCATATATCTGATACTGAAGTTTAAACCGAGGACTCGTTCACTGACTCGAGTGTGGACTCGGCTAGAACAATGTCTGCATCTCATCGAAAAATGCCTGAAGACTTTCAGAAAAAACTTATGGTCAAATCACGTAATTTCATTCTGGAATGCGAAATGCATTGCTTCGCAGTAGAACACTTGATTTAATTGCTCGACCTGTTTTCGTATTTTGCTCTTGTTCATGGTGATCTCGATCAATTCACCTTGCCTGCAGCCCTTTGCCCGTGTAGTCACGATACTTTTAAACAACTTGGTTCATTTACAGACACTTCTGTAGACTAAATTTACATTCTTGACGAGTTGTGGCACGGTTTGTTGACGCTGCCTGGAAAACGTCTCGGAAAGTACCAATTCTACTGTCTGAGGCTGGAAATGATCATAACTACCGCAGCAGAAGATTTCGGACAAGAAAAATTCGTCAAGTTGCCTTGACACTTCTGCCAAATGAAGAAAACGAGACTAACACTTGCATCAAGTGAACTGGTATACAGAGCACAGGAAGTCATGCTCTTCATGTAGTCAAGGCACCCAGGTTACAATCATAATGAAGCAGCGCGTTACAAAGTCATGCACGAAGTGCCGTGACTTGCGTCTCCTAGCTTCCCGCCGTTTTCCATTTCATACGTGCCCCGCAAATAGAGTAGGCCCGGGCCATCCTGTCCAATTGGCAGCATGTTCACTCATGCACGAAGTCAAGTAGAGGCTAAAAATCAGGACTATGAAGGGCTAAATCTGCAGTCAAGCATGGACGATAACTCGCGCTGAGAAGAAATGACTTCTTCCCTTCAACTCACTTCGAGTAAATAAAGTGTCATTTAAACAGCTGACATTCGTGTATCTGCGCGTCCCTGAAGCATCATGAATCCAGACGGCGAAGTGAGGATTCGTGTCCTAATCAAGGTGGGCAGAAGGAATAACTTTAGCAATAGTTGTTCGCACAATTCCTGCCTAAATTTGCTGAATGCTGAAAAACTATGCAAGCATTTAAGCTGAGATTTATTCACCTTATTTCGTTTAAGGTGATGAAGGACTGGTAGTAGAATTTTCCCACAATGATATGAGTTGAG